CTTCAATTTCTACTTCTTTGACCAAATTCGAATTAAAAATAAGATATTTGTTCAAGTGTTGAACTAAATGGCAAAATGACAGGAACATATAGTAAGTAGTAACTATGGAGAGGTAAAAGCTTACTTGGGTGTTTATGATCGAGTTTTGGATAAATAAATATAATGTGTGTTTTTTATATACATATATTTTCAGAGTTTAAGTTTTGTGCATCATTAATGCAGAAAACGTTATACATCATCAAAATTAATAAAAATTGAGTAATATGTATTTCTACCTTATTTTATACTAGTTAATTAAAGTTCAGATGATCAATTGGATATGAACACTTGATACATATAAATATTTACTCCAATGAAGGTCTATCAATATTGAAGTGTGAATTTTCAAAAAGATGAAATCTTTTTTGCTGTGAACAATAATCTAAATATATTGGTTCATCCGATCAGCAAGAGAGTACACCAATCATTTTCTTTGACAATAACATAACTACATCATTATTATTTCAAAAAGTCTTTTTTTTTTTAATTTCAATTTCTTAATAAAAAAAGTGACAATTACCCAAAAAAGACCATTCTGTAATTTTAATTGAAAAACAGAGTAGCCAGATTTTTATAGACCTTCGTCATCTTCGTCCTTGTTCTTCCTCTTCCTCCATCTCCGATCGAATTATATATCAAAAGATTCGAAACATTGAAAGGATATCATATCTAAAATTTGGAACGGTTTAGAGGTGATTTTGAGTTGATTGAAGATTGAATAGTCAGTGTATACTTCATGTATAGTTAAACTATATTCAATTTTCTATTGTATCTTAATGTATAGTCAGTGTATAACTCAGGTACATGTAAGCTATATTGCATAGTCAATATTTATATTTTTATGACTTTTTCTAAGCTATATTGTATACGCAGTGTATACTTTCTATAATTCTTGACTATTTTTTAATGTAAATAAAAATATAACTATATTTATCGTAAACTAATAACTTTATTGTATATATTTAAAACTATCGTGTTAAAAAAGTGACTATTTCTTTGACAGTCGTACCATAAACAAGTGAAAAATACTAATAATTTTCTCCAACTCCCACTTGTAGGAAGATTGTTCTAGTATAAGGTGGTCATCTTCATTTTCATTGTTCTCCTGATACTTGACAAGAATTTCTGTGCTTAAAATCGACACCCTCTGTTTTTTCCCCCATTGCAGATGTTAAATTGTACATATTGAACTTGATGTGACTTAAGCAAAATATTTGCACAAGAGTCATTTGGTCCCCAACTGAGAATCCTACAAGTCGTTCCTCTAGTTTTTGTCATCATTTAAACAAAACAGGGCATTTCATTCTTGAATGACTATTACTCTGCAATTCCTTTCTCTCTACTTCATACTATTATTGTTCATGCAATGAATCTAACACTTTTGGACAAAACAATATGACCCGACAAGACAACTAAAGACATCAATAAACAGTAATGTCTTTGGTCCCCCTAATTTCGAAATAATTAACTGATCATCGATATTACCACAAGTTGTTTTTACTAAAAACATGCATTGCTACTGTTACCTACTTAATTCCTAGTTGTTCTTAAGATGATAAACCAACAAGCAAAGATTGTAGGTGCATGTTAATTATATTACACAAACTTCAAGTAGACACGGTTCTTGATTTTTGCACAATAAGTTAGTTGTTGAATGGGATTTGGCATACAGGTTACCAGATCAATGAATATTTTATAAACACACTCGAACCCGGGTGTCAATTGAAACATCTCTTGTCGAAAAATTACAATGTATAATTAAGTAATTTTGATAAACATTAGATAACAAGTCCGTAGTGAAAATCCTGATATGAGTCGTTTGGTAGAGTGTATTAGACTATTAATAATGCTTGCATTAATAATTCTTATATTAGTTATGCATAAATTATTTCTTATGCATTGTTTGGTTTGATGTATTAGAAATAGTATGCATTGTATAAAAATATCCTCCATAATTATGGTGAAAAAGATGTAAAAGTTCTTTTGAGGGGTAATTTAGTCTTTAACCATGCTAATGCATGTATTAAATACACTTGCATTACTAATACCAAGATATCTATGATATTAATAATGGGTAATGAATGCTAAATGACAAAAAAATTTGGCCAGAAATTTTTAAAAATTATAATATCTTTTTTATTTAAAAATAAATTGATTTTTTTCCATTTTTTAGTTAAACGGTATCAAAGCTAAAAGGGTAAACATATTTTAAAAGGTAAAATACTATTCTGGCCAAAAGGATTTTTCTATTAATAATACACTCTTCAATACACAATAAAGTGTATAACTAATACAACATAGCATGAGAAAATGTACCAAACAAGAGACTGCTAATGCATAGAGTTAATACATGTATTATATTTGCTAATTAATACACTAGCTTATTACTATTCTTTATTCCCTCGTACGTGTAACACGAGCACAATTGCACTTATATAACTAATTACGATTTACGTATACGAAACCGCTTTGCCTACAACTTAGAAAAGGCCAAAGCAACTTTCATCTTGCTGGAACATATTAAGCACATGGCAATTACACAAATCAGAATCACTTTGATAAAGTAGATACTTTGAATTCCAACCAAATGCTTTCTAAAAAGCAATATAGTTCATTTGGATTTAAGGGTGCGGAAAATGTTTTCCCTTTTTTATATGTTTGGTTTATCAAAAATTTTGAAAAACATATTCTCTAGAAAATAAATTCCTTAGGAAAATAACTTCTTCAACGCTAAAGTAGGGAAAACATGTTTCACAAATTGCTTCAACATTGATTGTGTAATTCCAACTCTCCAACATCCTTCACCCCTGCCCCCACCCCCAGTAGAATTTGTCTAGATTATATATACTCCCTGTTTTAAGATAATAAGTATCTTTTGGTTACATAACAAACTCACTAATTTTCTAGATAACACCATCATTCAAGAAAACATTTTCGTTGGTAAAGAGTTTTAATTACTCCACGTACGTACGATAGACAAATTAAAGCCATGTTTTAAGGTGCACCACTTAAAGTGAGCTGGTAATTGAGATAAAGAATATTAGGATGCTAAAAACATTTAGCGGGGACAAGTAGCTTAGGACGTTACGTTGGTCCCCTCCTCAAAATCTCAAAAGAACCAAAATCAATGTTTTTTATTTTTTCAAATTTCAAATGCCATAAAAAAAGAGCCAAATTTGTGGTGTTTGTTTCCCTTCTTGATAGGAGTGCATAGTTGTACATATGTATTAAGGATAAGAAAACAAATATTTATGCATGGAAACAAAAAAGTGATGGGGATAAAATCTTGGATTTTCTCCTAACAATTGCCACTCATGGGACCCTGTTGTGTCTTTCTTTGTTTCCTTTACCAACTGAACATGATTTCTGTCTCAATGCAGAATTAGCTTTCTCTTTAAAGAAAGTTTTAGCACTTATGTAGACTTTCTTGGGTTCAGTGTCACACTTTAGATAGCCAAACAGTTTGGAACAAGTTTACATTTCGGAGTTTGAGAAGGGTAGAGTGTACGAAACCTTACTCCTACCTGATAAACTATTTTCGAAAGACTCTCGGCTCAAATGCAGTAAATCCAAGTAGTTATTAAAAGGAAAAACAGAAGTGAACGGGAATAAATGCTAACTATAATAAGGAAATCATTAGAGAGCATTGTGAGTTGTTGTTGTCTATTTTCAGTATTTATTATAGAAATGGATGAGTTATGCAGATAATTTAGTAATGTGAACACACAATTTTCCAACCTAGAATTATATTCTTGCTGAACCTTTTTTGTATTGCTTTGGTTAACCTTCTTTTCTTTCTTTTTTCACCTTTTATGTTAAATCTAATAACCAAAGTTAATTGATGGAGACAAAAAAAAATCTCTTTTTTGACAAATTTAAAGAAACAAAAAGGCATAGCAATATATTTAAGAGAGACCATATTGAATTTATTCCCAAGCATAAAAGCTTCCTCACACTAGATGCTTACGTTAAATTCTACTAATTTACCATGATTAAGTTGTAAATTAAGGTAAGAATATATGTGAAGACGTGTCACGTATTTATTGGGCTAGTGTAAACATCAAGTGCAAGTAAACTTTTATCATAAATATCCTAGAACCAACGGCGAATCAATCTAGACTTGATGTAGCAGGGTTCTAGTATGCCCTTTTTGGTTATTTTTGTTGCACTTCTATCTCTAAAAGCGCGAGAATGATGGTTTTTTTTTTTTATGTTACTAACTACTTGCGTCTAAATTCTGAATTTATCATTGCCTCAACATTTCTTAATTTCTTTTTATGAGGTAGGTCATATGACACTCATGAATCAAAAGATAATTAGTTGGTGTTTATGGAGGTGCTATGAAATTTTTAGTAGGCATTGCAATTTTCAAATGTGATATCATGCTCCATTAATTCAACCAATATAAAACTCTAACTTGTAGTGGTGGGCCTTTCATCAAAATCCCTCCCAGCTACTCCACAAAATGGCACAGACCATCTCCAGTAAAGAACAAAAAGAGAAATAAAATGAGACTATGTGAGGGTCCTGATGACATTTTACAACCTTATCCCCACACCATTAAAAAAAAAGAAGGATTAATCTAAATAATCTGTCAATTCAACTGCTTAAACTAAAAATATCCTGTGAATGTATAATACACGTATAATAGTGTATAATCATACTCATTCATTTCAATTATAGCACCATCCTTCAACTTTTGATCTATTATCAAGCATATATAAAATTGGATCAGATAATTCAAAATAAGAAGATACTAGCAAGTTAAATAAGTCCTAATAACTATAACTTGTTTTTTTTTTCACCTCAGAATGTACAAAATAGTGAATCTGAGTGATATATGATAGATTATTTGTATAAAGAGACAAAAATTTAAATATACATCTGAGAAAGGATGAAATTAAACAGCTAGTGTTGCATGTTCTTGACAAAATAATCATCAAGATTGATATCAGGCTCTGTTAACATACCAAATGATCATCAAGATTGATATCAGGCTCTGTTAACATACCAAATGATCTTTTACAGTGAAGAATTGCATCAGAAACCGCGCTCTCCATATCGCGCCAAACATCATTAGAATGATCATAGGCTGGACTTTTTATAGGGGAATTATAAGCCTGTGGTGACTTAATACTACTCCAGCTTTTCACCTTTCTCAAAGTCTTAACTCTACTTCTCTGATCATTACGATTTCCAGCCCAATCGACAACAGAATGAGATTTCATTATTCGATGAGGAGGAGATCCCTGAAATGAAGAATAATCAGTAGTTTTGCAGCTTTGAATTTCACTTACTTTTCTTTGAAGGTCATCAACTTTTGCTGTACTTTTTCTTGAACTTGATATCCTTTTGGAAATTGGCCTGATGAATCCGAACCATTTAACCAAGACTCTGCGCGAAAATTTCCTCCATTTCTCAAGAAAATCAGCTTGATCACTAGTTGTAGAATCTGAAACTCGTGGTGTGGGATGAGTACTACTTGAGGGTACTGATGAATTTATGTTGAAATTATTGAAGGCTTCGCGAAAAGATTCAATCTTTGATTTATCAAGATATCGAGGCATGATGTGTCCATCAGAGAAGATTTCATCAGCATGGACAGATTCAGAAACAGGATGAACATCAAAATTGAAGTTTTGAGCTTCTTCTAGGAATCTTTTCGAGTAAGCGATAAACTTCATATCTTCTTCATCATCATTATCATGATCATCATCACTACTATAACAAGGTCTAGGGGATTCTGTTAGGCCATCAATGGAAGGTTTTCTGTTCAACAACCAGCTATATGAAAAACTCTCTGTGGCAAGAGGTTGTTGGGAATTTTCCATGGTGAATAGTACAATAATATGTGAAGAAAGGAAAAGGGAAATGAGATGTTTATATAAAGACTTAACAGGTTATCCGCTATAACAGATTAAAATATTTTAAGTTGTCGGTGTATATAAGTTAAATCTGTATAAAAATAAAATGCTTGGCTGAGGATAGAGGGACTCACGTGAGCTTGTTTTACAGTAATTTCAGAAATACAATATTGCATAGATTTTTAAAAAAAAAATTCAAACAGCAACACATGTTGCATTCATATCAAACAAGTGATTAATTAGGACAATTCCTCTCTTTTTGTTTTTGTTTTCTCAAAGTAATCATCATATTTACGTAATTATTTCATCTTTTGAATTCCTTTTTTCTTTGTTTTTTTGCTAGCACCTAATGTTATCATGCCGTCCAACTAAATACAATATTAATATTTGCAAAAAAAACAAATGCATAACTGCAAAGAATTGTTAATCCATAATCCTAAATCAAAGAATTTTATCATTTAATATAATCCTAGTGATAGCTCCATTTTGTAGCTATAAGTTATTTAAGAAATATGTTTTAATTAATTTAATTCTTCATATTCTAAGATTATTTTATTAAAGGCTTCTTTGACTAAAATTTTACCAAAGGCCAATTTGATGACATATATGATACTCGTTTTCTGCAGGAATGGGAAAAAGAGATATTATTAAAAAAAATTTGCAAGTATTAGCAGACATGTTGAAGCCATTGGCCATGCTTTAGATAGTGATATTATTTGGCCCTTTGCAATTTTTTATAGAATTAAATTGTAGCTTCCTACATGCTTCTTGTAGAAAAATGATTGTTTTAAAGTATTAGTATTATCTGTCTCTTGACTGTTAGGAGTTAAATAGACAAAAGAAAGCAATGAAGCAATAGTTTAGAAAAAAAAGCAATGAAATATTCAAAGACCAAAGATAATGACCCCAGAATGTAGCCAAAAGGTTTCAAATGCAACTATAGGTAACTATTATATAACTTAGTTAAGGTTGATAACACAGAGTTAAAAAAAGTCAATTCTTGATTGCAGAATCTTTTGCATTCACAAGTTCTGTCTGTCGTTCCCATCACTTCTTACTTAATGGTTAGGTTCGAATTCTACAATGAAGCTTAGAATGAAACTGGTTCTTGAGTCAATCTTCTAAGTCTTTATTGGCTCGAATATCATGACTTTTTGTTCTATTTCTATAAGAAGATTCGTTTAATTCTGGTATGAATGCTTTATTACCCTGGCTTTTAGTTAATGACCAAGGATGAGAAATCCTGTCAATATCAATAAACTCAGTGTAATTCCATAAGTTGGGTATGGGGTCTGGGGAGGGTAAGATGTACGCAGCCTAACCCCTACCTTAAAAGTTGTTTTCGATTGACACTCAGCAATCCTACTCCTTTATATGGACTTGGGACTGGCAATGTAAACGAGCTCATATAGGCGGAGTTAAGAATGAGGAATCCTGTCATTTGTAGGATAAAATGAAGATGCTTTAAACAATTAAAAGCTCGGATTTTTGGAGTTGTGATGATTTTATCTTTTTCCAGTATACGTTACTGTATTAAAAACTAAAAGAATCTTGAAATTGTAAGTAAAGGAAAAGAAATAAAGGAAAAAAGAGAAAAGAAGAGACAACAGACAGAACTGGGGTCCCTAGTTTGTTGGGAGAAAAAGCAGAATCAAAGGCTGGAAACTGACATAGGAACTGATTTACAAAGGTCCCCTACTGGTTTGCACAAAGGAACAGGACTTGTCTGCTGACTAATTCCCTATTAGTTGTTTAGTAAAAATAGAACAACATATGGCAATATCAAGGCCAAATATCAGCAATCTCAATCAGACATTTTCCATCATATGAATTCATAATTGTCTTTTCTGACCAAACAAAAGGAAGTTGTTTATCTTATGAACCATGATTAAGGCCACAATAATCAACACAAGAATGGTGAAGTGTAAGTTGAGGAGAATAAGGGATATATATACATATACCAAAACAAGCTTCATCTTGACAGTTTCACTGGTTAGTTTTATCGTCTTACCATTAGATTACTCCAATATCTATTTAACAGAATATCGACAATATAGGGGTTTAAAGATCTTTATAAAATGGATATAGATCCTTTCATGGTTGAGATTATAAGTAAGTTTTGAGAAATATTGTTCATTCATGACTAATAAATACTATTGTTCTTTCACGCTTCAAAATGATTCATTGTGATAGAACAGCGAAAGACAGGGCTTATATGTTAACCAATATTCTTCATATTCATGAATCATGACTTAGTTCAAAAGAAAGCATGTTCTCAATTTTAAAGTCCACAATCTTGACAGTGGTTCATTATCTCGTTATGCCATGACGTAAACGCCAGAAAAATGTACCAGTAAAATTTAGCAGACCTCTTACCTGTGATCATCCTACCAATTTGTGATCAATGTTATAATTAAGTTATTGTTAAAATTAATGTGTTGTTGTATTAATAAAAAAGTATCTTGGTTGATCCAAAAGTAGTTGGTCAAGTTACTATGTATCACTATATATTTGCTGCTGTATTGAACAAGTGAATAACAACGAATATAAACAAACACTTCTGCTACTGAAGCAATATAGCAGCTCGTTCAGTAAAAGTACTATTGTTGCTTCTTAAGTTACTACATTCCAGACTTACCATCCGTGAAGTCTGGACGAGTAAGTAGAGGTTGTGTGTAAGTATCCTGAACGAGTAAATTTTCCTTTATGGTATTGAACCCGTCTTCAATATGAAAAGACAAAGTCCTAACCACCAGTAGAACAGAATTAGAAAAAAATTGTTCAAATTATATACTTATTTTCTATATGCAATTCAAGAATTCATATCTCAACAATTATCTCACTTGTGCTATGCTAAATCTCTAAGCTTTGTTTCAACATTTGAAGTTTAATTTTAGAGGGCCAACACCAGAAGACTGCACAATTGTTTGTAGTCCTTAGTTTATAGACAGTTAATGATAACAGTGGATGTCGAAAATTTGAATGAGTTCCCATAGTAGTAGACTAAATATGTAGGCACTAAGTCTATACACTAGGCTAATGGCCCTATTAAATTCATAGTTTATGAGACTAAACATTTAAAATGTGAAATCAAGTTTTTCAAGTGAGTTATAGTTTTATTTTGGAAGGACAAACTTTGCCTTTATTTTAACATCACCAAGACTTTGGGATAAGACAAGGGGTAAAAGACAACATAATAGCAAATCCAGAAGCACAAACGAAAGATTAATCCTCTATTTAAATAAAATTGTTAACTACTTAACTGTGAAGCCACGCTTTACTTAGCATAAGCACAAAGTAGGAGTCTGAGTAAGTAAATTTTCATCCTATAAAAAGCAATGATCTAATGCTCTCTAAAGCAGAACAACTTTATAGTTTTTCCTAAAGAAGTCATTTCAAAATTTAGCAAAATCATCAAGGAATGGAACTCCAATCCAATAGATCACTTGCATTTTTCTCCATAGTGATTCTAGTACTAGCAGCTTCTTGTGATGCTGGTGGAATTGCTATTTACTGGGGTCAGAATGGAGGTGAAGGAACTCTGGCGGAAACCTGTGCCACGAAAAACTATGACTTTGTGAACATAGCTTTTTTGCCAACCTTCGGAAATGGTCAACAACCAATGATAGATCTATCTGGTCATTGTAATCCAAATGTTGGCGAGTGTACCAAATTAAGCACAGATATAAAATCCTGCCAAGAGAAAGGAATTAAAGTGATCCTGTCAATTGGAGGCGGTGCTGGGAGCTACTATCTTGCTTCTGCTGATGATGCTAGGGAAGTTGCCACTTATCTTTGGAACAACTTCTTGGGGGGACAATCGACAACACGTCCACTTGGTGATGCTGTTTTAGATGGAATAGACTTTGATATTGAAGGAGGAACAAATATGTACTGGGATGTTCTTGCCAAGTCTCTTTCTGCCTATAGCAGTATCGGCAAGAAAGTTTACTTAACAGCAGCCCCTCAATGCCCATTCCCTGATGCTTGGATTGGAAACGCCTTAAAAACAGGCCTTTTCGACTATGTTTGGGTTCAATTCTATAACAACCCTCCTTGTCAATACAGTTCTAGTGATATTAACAATCTTGAAGCTGCATGGGAACAGTGGACAGCAGATATCCCTGCCAAAAAGATTTTCCTTGGCTTGCCAGCCGCTCCTGCAGCTGCTGGAAGTGGATTCATCCCTGCTGATGACCTCACTTCTCAAGTTCTTCCATCAATAAAAAACTCTTCCAAGTATGGTGGTGTAATGTTGTGGTCAAAATATTATGACGATCAGACCAATTATAGTTCTTCAATCAAGAGTGATGTGTGAAGTTATGAGCTATACCTCAGCCCTTATTTGTGATCAAGTATGTTATGTTAATATACATATATATGTAATATGATAGCAACTTGTCTCCTGTGTAATTATGCTCCAATTTATGTACCCAAAGGAAAATACATAGCCACTTCAAGTTTTTGCACTCTTCATGATCCATCAATGTAAAAGACATAAAAAGAAGACAGAAAAGAGAAGAATATTATTCTAATGTGATACAGGAGCTCAAGTCAAAAGGTAAACTAACTTTAGAATTCCATAGTTGTTTTGGGTTAACTAAGATGGGTCGGATTGTTAATGGTTGGGGCCACCTGGATCAACAAATCAGTGCCATATGTTTAAAACCTCACATGTGCCATCTCATAGTTCCGTTGAAAGGAGGGGCATTTTGAACTAAGAATTTAACGTTAAGGGCAATTGGGGTCCAATTGATGGAAGGAGAAGCATTTTTAACCTGAAAATTAACATTAAGAGCAATTCGGATCCAATAGATGGGATGAGGGCAAAATGTAAGCCATTTTCAGTATGTATGGGGCATTTTTGACCCTTTTCCATAGATTATGTTGGTTCATTTCTCATATGTATTCCACAACATATTGACAATATAGAGGTTTAAATTTTTTTATGAAATGGATGCATTGATGCACATCCATTATTTGTAATCTCATAGACAAGATAAGATATAAGTTCTGAGGAAAAACAAAGCATTGCAATAATCCACATATTATGCTTGATTTCATGCTTCAACATATATTGTTTATTAATGACTAAGATCAACCGTCTTCTGATTTGAGATAGAACGGTGCAAGACATGCCTTATATACTAACAAATAATATTCATCTATGACTTAGTTCAAAAAGATATCGTGTTCTCAAACATAATGGCAGACCTCTTACCTATCATCACTGTTTGAAGTCCACAATTTTGACATTGCTTCATCATCGTGTTACGTACTGACGTAAACTCCAAAAGCTGCACCAGTACAATCTACCAGACCTCTTACCTATCTCCTACCAATTTTTGTGCAATGAATGTTATAGTAATTTATCATCCTTAGCGCTCAGACTTCTTCTTTATCCCTCTCTTTGGTGAGTTCAGCTGAGTCTCATTGGAAGACGTTGACTCTACTAACCAAAAAATGGATGTTTAATGGCTTGCATATAATGAGTAGAGAGAATTACAAGACAAGTTAATATCCCTCTTTCGGTCCATTTCTTCATTTCGACGTTGGTTTAAAGATATTAGTTATTATCTATGCCTACTTAATTGTACTCATCAAGTCCATTAGCAGTAAGTTACAGTTTAATGAACCTTTCAACTTAGATTTGCACCAAAAACTCCAGAATCATGACTAAGTTTAGTTTGCCCAACCAAAACCACCTAACCATCTTTAACAATTCATGCCATGAGTATTGTTACTTTATTCTGTCTAAGCAAGTAATATTTCTTATAACTGGAGGCAAAGAGAATTCTGTTTCTTATAAACTATTTTCAGTGTTGAAGCTACTGGTCCATTTCATTGAAGAGATAGAATTTGGAAGAGGCACAGTTAACAAGGTTCACAGTTGTGGGCTAGTTTTATGTAAAAGGAAAAGCTTTGCCTTTGTTTTAACATCAAAAGACTTTGGGAGAAGACAAGGGGAAAGAGACAACATAATAATCCAGAAGCATAAACAAAAGATTGTTCATAGAATTTGAATAAAACTGAGAACTACTTAACCGTGAAGCCACGCCTTTCTTAGCATAAGCACAAAGTAGCAGTCTGAGAAAACAAATTTCCCATCCTATAAAAGCAATGCTCTAGTGCTTATCTACCAGAATTCTAAAGCAGAACAGCTTTAAAGTGTTTCCTATAGAAGTCATTTCAATATTTAGCGAACATCATCAAGGAATGAAACTCCAATCCAATAGATCACTTGCATTACTCTCCATAGTGATTCTAGTACTAGCAGCTTCTTGTGATGCTGGTGGAATTGCTATTTACTGGGGTCAGAATGGAGGTGAAGGAACTCTGGCGGAAACCTGTGTCACGAAGAACTATGACTTTGTGAACATAGCTTTTTTGCCAACCTTTGGAAATGGTCAACAACCAATGATAGATCTATCTGGTCATTGTAATCCAAATGTTGGTGAGTGTACCAAATTAAGCACAGATATAAAATCCTGCCAAGAGAAAGGAATTAAAGTGATTCTGTCAATTGGAGGCAGTGCTGGGAGCTACTATCTTGCTTCTGCTGATGATGCTAGGCAAGTTGCCACTTATCTGTGGAACAACTTCTTGGGGGGACAATCGACAACACGTCCACTTGGTGATGCTGTTTTAGATGGAATAGACTTTGATATTGAAGGAGGAACCAATCTGTACTGATATGTTCTTGCCAAGTCTCTTTCTGCATATAGCAGTATGGGAAATAAAGTTTACTTAACAGCAGCCCCTCAATGCCCATTCCCTGATGCTTGGATCGGAAACGCCTTAAAAACAGGCCTCTTCGACTATGTTTGGGTTCAATTCTATAACAACCCTCCTTGTCAATACAGTTCTAGTGATATTAACAATCTTGAAGCTGCATGGAAACAGTGGACAGCAGATATCCCTGCCACAAAGATTTTCCTTGGATTGCCAGCAGCTCCTGCCGCCGCGGGAAGCGGATTCATCCCTGCTGATGACCTCACTTCCCAAGTTCTTCCTTCAATAAAAAACTCTTCCAAGTATGGTGGTGTGATGCTGTGGTCAAAATACTATGATGATCAAACCAATTATAGTTCTTCAATCAAGAGTGATGTCTGAAGTTCTGAGCTATATCTCAGTCCTTATCAGTTTACTATACATATATGATATGATGGCCTGTGTAATTATTCAATGTGTTATATCATGTATATCTAAAGGGAAATACATTGCCAATTAAAGATTGTGTAATAACTTGTGACTTTTAAGTTCTGTCCATAATCTATCTCATTGCTGCTGAACCTAACACATAAGACTATTTTTTGTCATTTTCTAAGGGTTTTTTTCCATTATCATGGTGAGAGAACATTCCATTTTGAATGATATTTGTATTTAGGGAGTGCGATTATAAATCACCTTGAATGTAATTTATAGGCAATTTTAACTAAGAGAAATTATATATGAATACGACTTATAAATCCGTATACTGAATACGATTTTAAAATTTTATTAATATTATTTAGTACGAAATATTTTTTGCTATTATTACTTAATATTCATATGAGCTTGATTGGTATTCTTAAGATGAATGCGATCCGATCGAGGAAGAAAGTATAATCCCATTTTAATATTTGTGAACATTTTTTCAAGATATTTACGTTGAAAAAAAAAAGGTCTTAACTACTAAAATATCTCCTTCATCCACCAATAGGAGAATTTTCTAGCGGATCCAACTCCATAACTATATTTCAATTATCCAATTGGAAAATATCTAACTAAATTCTTCCAAAATCTAATCTCCGATGACCACTCTTTTACCGTCGCTGGAAATTTCATCATTCCCCGCCGGTCGCCTTCCTCTGAGGATTTCTTCTTACTTAAACCCTAGAAATGCTCAGAAGCTCACGGTTTCTAGGTGCGGAATTAGGGGTGCTAGGGTTAGGGTTTATTCGTATGTGAAGGATTTGGAGGAGTTTCCGTCTTTGAATTCAGAGAATAATTTGGGGTTTTACGCACAGTTCTCTGCTCATGTGCAGACTAGCACGTCGTTGTCGTCGTCGATTGAGGTGAACGAGGAAGAGGAGGAGGAGAAGCGGAATTACTATCTGAATACGGGTTATGCTATTCGGACTATCCGAGAGGAGTTTCCTTCCCTCTTCTATAAGGAGCTAAGCTTTGATATCTACAGGTTTGAGTTGTTAATTATCCATTTTTGTTGTGATTAGGTGTTGTTGATAATGATGTTATTTTTCTTTTTAAATATCCCTGATTTCTGACCTAATTCAGCTTATTTTAGTTGCGCAAACCTTAGCTACTCTCACGTCAATAGGTTGACAATTAGTATAAAAAAATAGTGTAATTATGATGAAACATGTGTACTGAAGCCAAAATGGGCATGAATGGAGTGGAATTGATACATCAGGTTCCTATAGCTGACCTTAACTATTTCGGAACTGACGCGTCAGTAGATTGATGCAGGTGATGATCTGGTTGTCTTGTTCTAGCAATAACACCAGATATGAGAAACAAAAATTTTGAGTTTTTTTAGATTTGGGTGAATTGCAGAAAGAATCATTAAGCTGTTTGAAAGTATCCACAGAACTTAAGGATGGTGAGATTATCTACCCCTTCTTTTTCAATTAAGGGATCTGTTACATTTGTTTGAGGGACTGGAACAAGGGAAAGAAACTTTTCTATGAAAAATGTGACCAAGAGTATTTGGAAAATGTCAATATTTTAAGATCCAAGTGAGAAGTGGCTCAGAGTCTTAGACAACTATTAATGGAGGAGCATTTGCAGAAAGTAGACGCAAAAAATGTTCAGCGTTAAGTCTCCAAAGCAAAATAAAAGAAATAAGTTTTATTATTTAGAAGTAGCATCATAATTTACAGTTCTTATTGGTTCAAATTGTAGTTTTCAAGATCGAGCATAGGCAAATAATGAAAACTGAAATAGTCATATCTTTTGAAACTCAAGCTCCCTATGAAAACAAGAATTTATATGAGAAGGGAGAAGTAAACAGTCACTTTTCCCGTTTTAAGTCATTCATATGGTTCTTGTGGATTATCATTTTGATGGCTCTTTCCTTCTTATTTTGTTTGAAGATTTTAGATTGCGAGGATTGACTAATGGCTTAGTGGGTTAAAAATGCTATTTTGATTTTTGGGATAGCTAATTGTGATTTGCTGCATACTGCAGTTCACTTTCAGTAATTGCAGCAAGAATCATTTAACTATTTGAAAGTATCCACAGAACTTAAGGATGGTGAGATTATCTACCCCTTCTTTTTCAATTAAGGGATCTGTTACATTTGTTTGAGGAGCCGGAACAAGGGAAAGAAACTTTTCTTTGAAAAATGTGACCAAGAGCTATGTTGCTCGGA